ACAACAACAGAGATGGCAACAAGATGGCAAAAAGACAGCGGTTGCAACAAAACAAGTGAACATAAACAAAACAGTTACAACAAAACAAATCAGTAAAAGCGTTCAACAACAAGTAACGTATGAGTTCAGTAAGCGTTTCAACAAGGATTTATTTACTATATGTTCTTAAAACTGAAATTAATTAGAAATACTATTAAAATAAATTAAATTAATTAATTTGATGTGAATTTAGCTTTAGTTAACAACACTCATACAAGTTCATAAACATAAACCAAATAACATTTTTTTTACTAGAAACGATTTGCAGGGTCGTCCAGATGAACTTGGAAATAGTACCATAGATAAAAGGAGTAGACATACTCTGTCATACATACATGTCTATACTCCTTTTATCTATGATAGTTCATTAGAAAATCTGAATATACAGTAGTGCCGTGCATTTGAAGTACTTACTCAGAACACAGACTTACTTGAGGACAGTTACACAATAAAACGCAAAGATCCACGGAAGTAAAGACTACATTATTTAGTAAAAAAAAAACAAGGATGCGTCAGTTAGGGCCAGTTAGACAATTGAAGTACACAGAATTGAATCACCATAGTATTGTCCACGCAACAACGTGAGAGGATAAAACATGTACTTCTTCAATTATAATTACATGTTTCTGTGTAAAACCGAAGACGTCTACAGACTTTACTAAGAAAAACTTCTCCCCGGTAACACAGGCAATGGGAATTCCTTCTAGACAAGGTTTTCAATAGGCCTACAACAAAATCATAAAACAAAAGATGTTTCTCAGGCTAAGTAGCACACTGTGCACTTCAGCAAATATATAGTTTACCGAGATAACTATTGCTAACCAAGACAACAGTGTCATTTAAGGAGAAATAGTACAAACTAATGTCACCAAAAGTCTAAATTCATTCTTTATTTTATTTTTTTAAGAGAGGGAAAAATAGACAACAAAGCTTTAAATAACCGGTATTATCAATTTGTATTTATCTCTCAATTGAATAAATGTAACGGTAGTTACCTCACCACTGTTAACAATATTTGACCCTCCTATTACATAAATATGTTAGTTAATTTAATATTCAAACTCGTGTACATGTTGCTCGAATTCGATCAATTTCAAAGTATTACAGAATTTATTTCAAAACGAAAAAAGTAATAATCAATGAGTTTAAAAGAGTCAACTCAAAGATCACCAGTGTGTAACTGCTGGAGATACTCACGATGTATATACAGTAATCAACATTTCCTGTAAATATTTTATCATATTTCATAAATTGGTATTGCTTTTTAATGTTTCTACAAATGTTTCCTGACTTATAGCTGCATAAGGTTGTCCATGTTTATCTTATTTATTGATAAACCTATGTATGGCACCACCCTTGTCGCCAGCAGTAAGTTTACAAATTTCAGTAATTTTTTAATAAAGATAAACACTTTTTTGATCATATTAAGGACTTCCTGTTGTCTGTAACAATTTTATTTGTTCAATCGGCGTATTTTTATTTATTTAGCTAAATAAAACATTTATTTAATTGAAGTAAACTAATATAGGCCTATTTATATTCACTGTACTGTGTATAACAAAATATCGATTGAGAAACAAACAATTACACGTAATAAGAACCTCGCTAGTCCGCTGCATTGTGATAGCTGAAAATCGTCGGAATGAAAACCGCCGCTACAAGATACAGAAGTTGGTACGCCTGCAGTGCCCTCCACAGCTGCGCGCGCCGCTGGCACTGCCGCTCAACACATCCCCACCTAAAAGACGAGCAAGTGGCAAGTCGGTCGGGAGGATTGACGACAAGTTGGTTTCTCGTATATAATAATTTAGATTTACAGGCCGGTCAACTGGACTGACGATGAAATAACTTGTCGACGTACTGGTTTTCAGTATTTATCTATTTAATTAAAAAAGACGGTCTAGTGGCAAGACGACCAAGTATCTTGTCGGTCAACTGGTGGCCCCCCTTTCATATGTGCATGAAATGTTGGTGTGAAACCAACTTGTATAACTTTAAGCTAAATGGTTTAAGTTACATGGCTTCGTCAAGTGATCCTTCTTCAGTATTACACTACTATAGTTTCGGACTTGAAAATAAGTCCATCTTCAGAAAACGTCAATAGGTCATCTAACCAAATTGGTTAGATGACCTATTGACGTTTTTGTTAACCTGAAGATGGACTTCCAGAGGCTACCTCACCATGTATACCTTTGAAGTAGAGGCTATATTTATTCCCAAAAGGTATCAAACGCCAGCTCCTGATCAAATCTTTTCTATCACTTTAAAGTTTGTTTCGTGTTTTTAGTCTTCACGTACAGAGACTTATAGTGTGATTGTTGACGGAAAGCGGCTGGCTGAAGGGTCGACCCTACTCACACACACGCAGGCCTCACACACACAGACGCAAGGGATTAGGACGGACGTGGGACGGACCATTGTCCTGCCGCGCGAGTCATCGCTGGCTCACGGAAATTAAACTATGAATTTTTTTAATTTTACGTTTGTTAAAAAGTCTGGTAACGCTTTTGACTTCAGCTCAAAATGCTTAGTAAAATGATACCAAAAATATATATTTTGCTTATAAAGTGTAAAAGCTACGAATATTTAAACACGCTTTGATTAGCTAGCTACTTGTCATAATCGTTTCGTGTTTGGACTCATTTTTCATTGAATTAAACAACAAATGTATTAACACTAACCATTTTACTGTATATCTAACATCAAATGAATTGCAATTTTGAGGTATCATACAACAGATGTTATATTTCGACTTAGTGAATAGGGGATCGGGGCTTTCAGGCTATTAGGACGGTGGTGAGTGTGCGTGCGTGAGTCGGGTCCCTCGCAGGTAGGGCTGAGCTCCAGCCGCACTCCGGTAAAAATCAGACTATAAATCTTTGTATTAAATTGTTAGCAATCATAAATCGTGGACAGAATCTTCCACAAAAGATAAATACAATATAGTTCAACACCCTAGAACTCCTTAAAAAAAATATGTTTTGTTAAGGCTTCGTCATAATGTTAAAAATACTCAATACAACAAATTCATTAATTTTACATATGTAAACGTTGATAGTTGTGTGCGTATTGTATTTTAATATATCTTCTGTATACATCTAGTCCTCTATATTTTCTGTGTACACAAATGCTTCTGTATACACTTTTTTGCAACTCACAGTAACTGAGAAATATTCTAAACTGGTGAACTGTTTTTATAAATTTTTGCCATTATTTCTCAACCCGTGCTTAAAAAATTAGTGACTCGTGGATAAATCCAGATACAAAATTTAATCTAAATCGGACCACAGGTTTTGTATGTAGCTCTGTATCTGGATCATACAAGTGTGTATTATATAACCTGATATTAGTCAAAATATGTTTTATTCTATAACGTTTAATTTAATTAAACATAAAAGTTATGCTCCCTCCATTTTTAAAGTATTCAGTCCAAAAATGTAATAAATTTACTTGTGCATACATATTTATTTCGTTTTAATAAATAATTGAGGTGATGCAATACACTTATGTAGGCAGTCGCAGCAGTCGAATCCGGGCATAGCGCCTAAAGTTTCACGAACGCAAACCGCGCAACGAGTAGCTAAATGAGCCGTAGAGTAAGTGAGCCATCTAATATTTTGAAGAGGGTTCACTTACTCTACGGATCATAGTGCCAATGAACTGTAGAGTAAGTGAGCCATCTAATATTTTTCTGCAGGCTCGTATAGTATACGAGCCTATTCCTATAATTTATATTATTCATTATTTTGGCTCGTATACTATACGAGCCGATTCCTAAATTATCAAATAATTCGTAAGCTTGGCTCATAGTCACTATGATCTGTAGAGTAAGCGAACCTTCCTACTGTATTTTTAAATATAATACACGAGGCTCATAGGCACAATGATTCGTAGAGTAAGTGAACCCTCTTCATTTATTTTTTATTTTCGATAGGCTCGTATAGTATACGAGCCTGTAGTGCAAGTGAACCTTCAATATTATTTAAAAAGCTCGTATAGTCTATGATCTGTAGAGTAAGTGAGCTGTCCCCATTTTCGCATTATCTGTATCATACAAGTGTGTACCTATTATATAAACTTATATTACTCAAAATGTGTTTTATTCTATAACGTTTCATTAAATTTACGCTTATGCCTACATATTTATTTCGTGATAATAAATAATTCAGGTGATGCAATACACTAATGTAGACAGTCGCAGCAGTCGATGCCGGGCATATAGCGCCTAGAGTTTTGTTGGTTAGTCTATGGTTTCACGAACGCATACCGCGCAACGTGTAGCTAAATGAGCTGTAGGCCTATATATTTAATGGCTGTAGTGTAAGAGAGCCATCTAATATTTTACCGCAGGCTCGTGGCTCATAGTCACTATGATCTGTAGAGTAAGTGAACCTTCCTACTTCCTACTTCCTACCGCATGGTGGAAGGAAAAAACATGGTGTTTTTTCCTTCCACCATGTTCCTACCGTATATTTAAATATAAGACACGAGGCTCATAGGCACTATGATCTGTAGACTAAGTGAACCCTCTTCATTTATTTTATATTTTCGATGTAGTGAAAGTGAACCTTCTATTATATATACTATTTATAATATTATCATAGTTTAGTCTATTATATTATTTATAAAGCTCGTATAGACTATGATAATATGTAGAATAAGTTAGCTGTCCCTGCTCAATCCACTCCTTAATAACGAATCCCTACCCTATAAATTCCACCAATCCACCCCAATCCACCACTCCGATTCTGATCATCTGACTCTGAACTCTGACAGACGACAGGGACAGACTGAGACAATTTAATTTGTCATTTATTTGAGCAATTCCGGTTTCCGGTTGTAGCATGTTCTCCAACTCCAACTCCAACAAAATGCTACATGCAAACTGGACTGGAGTGTTGTGTGTGTTGACTTGACTTGACTTAATGACTTGACTTGAGGGTTGGAGGGTTGGACGTCTTGTCTTGTACTTGTTTCAGTTTGTTTATAGGTGTAGGCTACTTTTCTTTTATGAACTTATGATGGCTTTTATCGATGTCAGCTTGGTTTTTTAGTTTCTGTACGATTTATAAACTGTATGAAAATAATAATGTGCTGAACGAGTTTATTCTAGCTCATATTTTTGTTTGATCAAGTTAAAATTTGATTCTGTAATTTTAAAGTTTAAACAATATTTTTACATTTGCATGTCAAGAATAGTTCCGTGTCCAAGTCACATTCTTCTGACTGCTGAAAATTTCAACCAGAGGTTAGTCAAAAGTTTGAAGCGGTTATTTGTCTAAATTCGAATTATGATTTATAAATATTTTCTCATTTCAAAGTGAAGGCATGTGTTTGGGACCTTAGTTTTATTATCTACTTTCTACTTTACTTTGGTCTATATGGCATCAGTAAAGAATATCCCTCTGTAGAATGTGGGCTAGATTTTCATTCTATTCTGTGTACTGCGTCCTGTAATCCAGCTACTAGGAGGTTACCGTACGAATTGTGGATATTTATAGGCAAGCACTGTAGATGAGATACTACCTTGTGTGGATTAACGGCCACACGGGTGAGTACTACGACTATCCGCAGTACCATCCTGATAATTAGACCAATTCGTATTTATCAAAGACAAAAATGTGGTTCGGATTCCACTATTCTGTAGGTTCCTAAATCGCCATTAGCTGTATGGGTTATTAATTAACAGCTGTGTCTAAGGAATATGTCGGCCTTAGTCACTAACAAGACTACAAGATCACACCACGCATCTCCTTTGCTTAAAATACCTACTTACTTTGTATGTTCGCCATTTCAAATAAAAGTATTAATTAATAGCCTATGTAACTTATGCACGTGAAGACTTTTACATATTTTGATAAACTAGTGTACATGTTGCTCGAAATCGAGCAATCGCAAAGAAGTAAAGGAGTTATTTAAAAACAAATAACTTATTTAAGAACAAATATAAGTCATAAATTCCGATGAGTTTAAAAGAGTCAACTCAAAAATTACGTAACTAATGATAATACTCACAATGTACTTAACAGTTCAATATAATCAACATTTCTTGTAAATATTTTATCATTTTTCAAAAGCTGATCTGGCTTAAAGTGTATTGTAGAAATGTTTCCCCCTTATAGCCGCAATAGGTTGTCCATGTTGGTCTTTGTCAATGATAATGTAGTCTGCATGGTATCACCCATTGTCGCCAGTACGTTTACAAATTTCAGTCTTTATTTTAATAGCACCAAATAACCATTAACTAAGTTTACCTGATTTTCTGCATAACCTCTCTGTCACAATTTTACAATTAACATTTGTTCTTCCTCTCACTTTTAATTTCTGACAACAGCTGGAGTTTCATAACAATGTTTGTTTCCCATGTTAATCTTATGGAGAAATACGAAACTTTAAAGGGCCCCAGGCCCTCACTCTCTAATTATTTCCATAAAAAGAAAGTTTCCTGCACATCTTCACGTTACGCTCTTTCCAATGACACCAAAACCATGTCAATCGGTTCAGTAGTTTCGGAGGAGTAATTGTCACAAAAATCCTGCTTGCGTATTAAATAGAAGTACTAGTGGTCGTCCAGTGGTCGAAAACACGACCAAAAATATGTAATGTACCCGCATAGAATATTGGATTCTGAAGTAGACATTCCATCTATATCAGTTGTTGCATTTTATTTACTAAAAACATGTGGTCGTGTGAACCAGTCACAGTATGCGTGTTTAACATTATATTTTCGATCTTATTTTTTGTTGCTGACAAAGTTGATGGGTCATAACAGTTAGTAGCTATAGCTCTTAATTAGTCATTCCATAATTTTGACTTGGTAAAAATCATCGTGTAAAATCATCAACTGTGTTGTTGGTTCCTCTTTTAAACATCCCGTTTATTTGTAAGGGGTGTTAATATTTTATGTTGGTATCAGTGGTATGTATAGTGGAGCAGGTTTTCGTTACCGTTGGAACAGCGTTTGTTACAACCGATCCAGTTTTTTTTTTCTGAGACTAGCCAGCAAAAAAAACAATGACCAAGAACTTCTTGATAACAAATGCTCTTTAAGCTATCAACGTCTCTTCAGTTAAATACCTCAAACTGGAAAATTTACAACTACAGGTTGATGAATTTGGTATTTTATTTCACCTTATAACTTATCCGTAATAGACTTATAAAATATTTATAAGTTATAGAGCTATAATAACTGAAGAGATGTTAATAAATTTAAGAGCATTGTTATCAAGTTCTTCTTTAAAAATAAAATTTCATTGCATATTACCTATAGGTATTTTTACTAGAGAACCCGTGCGGCTCGATGAGCCGCATAGTATGAAACATAACTCCGAGGAAAACATTATGCTTAAATTCGAGTAATTGTAGTTACATCTTAGAGTTGTTTAAACACTTGTTAGAAACTAATTTTAAATATCTCTATTTGCGTGAAAAAGGTTCACCTACCTACATTATTTCTGCTCAGTTTTAACTGATAACTTCTAATGAATGCTAAACGATCTGCTCCAATTCAAGTTTGTTAACATGTTACAACAAAGTTTTTCCAGCATTGAGAATCGAAGAAAACTGTTGCCTTACTGATAGCCTGTGTTAAGTAATTTAAGTTTGAGTCATTTTATTTCTTTGATTTGAGACTTCCCTCTAATCAAACAAATTTTCTCCGTAGAGAATCCTGAAAAGTTTGGTGATATCAACCATTTCATGTGCTCCATTTTTTACCCACAAACTCTGGGTTACCAACTGGACGGCCATAATCTGCTTTGAATACGCTAAAGCAGCAACACAATTGAAAGTTGGTTAACATATTTTAACGTGTTGTCTGTCAGTCACATTATATGACCCACATAAGAATGTTCTCATGTTGTTCAGTTGAGTTTCTCTTAATACCTGTCCCAAAGTTTTGAAAGTATGGATTCATTTGTTGAAATAGGTTGGATAACTCTTGTAGCTAAAGTTTGGAAAGAAATTCTCATTTTCTCTTAACTAGGTGGCGTTCGCAGAGGCATCCACAAAATTGAGCGGAGTCATCAAGGGTTTATATTATATTGTTTTGGTCATACTGCAGTAATACCAGTCGTTTTTAATGCATGCGTTGCGGGTCTAAAGTAGCATTTTTACTCTTTAGGAAGTAGAAATAGTTTTTATCCTTTATGGAGTAAAATCAGCTGTTGTCAACTCAGTTGTAAATTACTATTATAAACGATTGCATGTATCGAAATATGTATCGATTCGTGCTTCGTAATTATTTTAACCTATAGTCTACAGTCTCTTCCCATAGTGTTTTAGCATCGCAGATACATTAATCCATTCCCACACTCAACACGCTTACCTTTACTACTTCCTTCACAACCACCTACGTCAGTGTTTCCCAACCAGTGTGCCGCGACACATTGGTGTGCCAGTAGGCCTCTGTAGGTGTGCCGCGAAATTTTAAGTAGTTAAACAATTTTTGATCAAGAAAGAAACTTTTAATAAACATACGTCAAGCACAAGTTTCCCACTAGAACTGAAACTATTTGGCCACTAGGGCACTATTTGGGTTTATTTAATATTTCTCACTCATTATTGGTAAATTCATACAACATTTTAATCGAGCTCAATGTTTTATCATTATTTAAAACTTTCCACTTAATAAACACTAAATAATGTACATATGTTGGATAACAAATGTGAGTTTTATATTTTTACCTTGGTAAACCCACCTTTATATTATATACACATATATATTTACTTGTAAAAAATAGGTTAGGCCTATACAGAGTAAGATGTAATCGAAAAAAAAAAGATTTTTTTATGCACTTACTAAATGTAATTTTAACCAATGATATTTTGTAGACAAATAAATAAATAAATATATCTTTATTGTCACATAAACGTTTTACAGATTACATAGCATAAGCTACAAAAACAGGTGACATTGTCAATATAATCATATATCATAATAAGTACCTAAAATACTAAAAAATAACCAAGATTCTTAGAAATAATTATTTGGGTTATTTTATAAAACATAATATTTGCTAATTTAAAAAATTACCATCATTCAAAAATTCGTCAATACTATAATATAATAGACAAGTGTGCCGTGACTCCAAAGTTGTTCTAGTTAGTGTGCCCTGAACGGAATAAGGTTGGGAAACACTGACCTACGTCGTGGTCCTATTTCCCTCTCTTCCCATAGCATTTAAGGATTGCAGATACATTAATCTAACCGCTACAAACGGTTTCCAGTTCCCACACTCCACACTGCCCACCTTACTACTTCCTTCACCTCTTCTTACGTCGCGGACATGTTTCCCTCTCTTCCCATAGAATTTTAAGATTGTAGATACCTTAATCTAATCGTCATAAACAGATCCCACTCTCCACACAGCTCACCTTGACTACTTCCTTCACCACTTCATACGTCTCGCACCTTTTCTCTCCCTTTCCATAGCATTTTAGGATTGCAGATCCCATAATCTAATCGTCATAAACAGTTCCCACACTCCAGACTGCTCACATTTACGACTTCCTTTACCACTTCCTACGTCACGGACCTGTTTACCTCCCTTCGCATAGCATATTAGGATTGCAGATACCGTGATATAATCGTCATAAACAATTCCCACACTCCAAATTGCTCGCCTTTACTACTTCCTTCACCACTTCCTACATCGCGGACCAGTTTTCCTCCCTTCCCACGGCATTTTATAATTGCAGATACCTTAATCTAATCGTCATAAACAGTTCCCACATACCAGGCAGCTCACCTCGACTACTTCCTTCATCACTTCCTACGTCGCGGACCCGTTTTCCTCCCTTCCCATAGCATTTTATGATTGCAAAAAATACCTTAATTTAATCGTCATAAACAGTTCCTACACTCCGGACTGCTCTCATGTTCTACTTCCTTCACCGCTTCCTACGTCACGGACCTGTTTACCTCCCTTCCCAAAGCATTTTATGATTGCAGATACATTAATCTAATCGTCATAAACAGTTCCAACACTCCGGACTGCTCGCCTTTACTACTTCCATCGCCACTTTCTACGCCACGGACCTGTTTCCCTCCCTTTCCATAGCATTTTATGATTGCATATACCTTAATCTAATCGTCAAAAACAGTTCCCACACTCCGGACAGCTCACCTTGACTACTTCCTTCATCACTTCCTACATCGCGGACCCGTTTTTCTCCCTTCCCATAGCATTTAATGTTTGTTGATACCTTAATCTAATCGTCATGAACAGTTTCCACATTCCAGACTGC